TCATCTGATCTCTCTTTTGTTGGTTAATATGTCGCATGATCGGCCACTTTAAAAGTGCTCTGCAGCCATGCACGTGTCATGGCATGGCTGTAGACTGCTTTCAGGGGCCGATCACACAACAAACGCAACTTGTGTCTGCGCCCCTAGAGTGATACCTGCTGTTCCCCTCTGAGGTGAGTTATTAGAATTACTTCATGGGATAGATAGGGGGAAATGCTGCATCAGGTCTACATGTTGGAAAGTGCTCTTTGATATTAGATACCTAACTTTAGTCCACATCCGGCCTGATTCTCACACTAAAATGGAAAAGAGGCCATTAAGACTTGCAAGTGTTCATTGCATCTGAGCAGACCAATATGCATTGCATTGCTTACCCTTTTTTAAAGTTTGTGATTTAACAGTGAATCAACTATTTCCAGTAAATAAGCTAAATATTGAAGTAGTTCCCTTTGAGAGGAGACATGGTGACAGAGGCATGCACATTTTTATGTTTTAGAAAACTGTTCCAAATAGCAACAGGTTACATGGGCCCTCAGTAGAGTGGCTTATGGCATCATTGGAAACTTTTTGAGGACTTAGCAAAGAGAGATGGGAAAATCAGCTCTGTTCTCAAAAGCTAAATCAACTTCAGGTTGTCTGGATATGCCAGGAAGCAGAGAACCCTGGTGTGATCAGATGAACTGAACAGCTGCTAGGTGTCAATGTATAACAACGCTATAAAACAGCTAATTTGATGTGTTTAGCTTTTCTTTTTGTTTGTTTCCCTCTAGTGAGATTAGTATTTAAATTGTAACAGGATATTTTATTAACTCCAGAACAGTTTGTTGAATAAGGCCTGAAATATTGAAGACAAACTTCTGATAAATTGAATTGAGTTCATTTCTCTAGACTTTTTTTTTAAGCTGCTCCCTGTTGCTTAGTAGCTAGGCACCATGATAGCACCTATTGCAGGAAGCTGCCTCCTCCCCCTGACCTTGTGTGTCTGCTCTAAATGCTGGTATAATTGATAAAGATGTTTAAAAAAAAAACCCCAAGGTAAATCAATGGGGTAAATGTGTGCCCTGGTTGTGTTACAAAGGTGTTGCTATCTGAAGCTCAGATCCTGCAACTGCTTGTGTAAGGCAGTGGGCATGATTGTGAGGATTGCTCATGCGCAGTACAGAGTAGCTGTGCACAGGAGCATCAGATGGGTAAAAGCTGTAAGCCTGTCCAAGAGCAAGCAGCAAATTCTCCGTGCAAAAGCTTGACTCACCTTTGAGACTTTAAAAAGGCCCTCAAACACGAAAGAGAAAAGTCAGTTTGTCACTAGGATTGATTTTTAAAGCGTCCCTCTGGTCCTTTTGTGGGATACTGCATCAATCTGCTACTCCACTATATCTTTACCACTAGACTAGACAGGTAAACTTCTGCTAAGGTTAAAATGGAGGAAGCCAACATTAGCATGGAAAGCTGAACAGCATTTTAAAAGCATGCCTCTGCTCTATCTTCACTTTTATCTCCGCCTTATCTGGTAATGTCTGGTGGACAGACTTTTATCACAAAGATCTCGTGAAACAAATGAGTGCAGTCTTGTTATGCAGGTGTTTTCAGATGGTATCCAAGAACTAATTCTCTCTATAAAAGTGTTTCTGCACAATATTTTTCTTTGGGTGGTGGTGCAGCTGAATTCATTTTAAACCCTAAACCTTTGAATATGGTTTTAGACAAGCAGATACAGATAAAAGCAGTAGTAGTTTTGTGGCTATGTTCTAATTTAATAGTTTGAAAGCTAATGTTCTTCAGGTCACAATACATCTACATTAATTTTGTGGCTGTCAGAGGAAAAAGGAAGTTGAGCATTGTCTACTGCTCCACTATACAGTGAATCTCTGTAACTTTTCAGAATATAAGCTCGAAAAAAGAGTCCTCCACCTTTAAAAGTATGTTCCCTACCCAAATATAATACAAATACAGATTTTTTTAATTTTTTTTTTTAGATTTTCCAATGCAAAATACTTACAACTGTAATTGAAGGTAATGAGATGTCATTTTTATGGGTGCAAAAAATTATGGATTACTGCATGGGGGGAAAAATCATTAAGACTCAGTGATTTTATTTCAAGTTGACAGTCAAAAGTCAAGAACAAACTTTGAAAGCAATCAGTTGCATACAAAGGCATAACATTACTTTTTTCTGTACATAAGTAGAGGTGCACCGATCAAGGTTTTTTGGGCCAGTACCGATGGCCGATTTATTAACCATCCATATCACCTGATACCATTCCGATTGCTGATATGCAGCCCAGCAGATTGGAGAGCAGTGGCTGGCTGGTAAGTCTGTTGGGGGGGAGAGGTGTGAGCAAGAGAAGGGACATGAGGGGTACAGATCAAGGTCACCATGGTGAGGGAGGGAGTGGGGCAGGGCAGGCGCTGCCTGGGCTGGAGCCCCGGTTTGCACCGGAGCGGGGGAGGACGGTGGGGAGGGGGAGTGCAGGGGCAGCTCTCACTGCTACACTCACCCACTCCCTCCCTCACCGCAGGGGCCTTGAGCTACCCCCTCCCCAGCCTTGCTGCATGCCCCTACCCCCCACAGACTGGCAGGAGGCTGCTCTCCAAGCTGCCAGGCTGCATTCCTGGTGGCTACACACATGCATGCAGCATTTATTGGCAACATTATCGGCCACATCAGCCAAAAAAAGCAGATTGCCGATCATGTCAATTTTCCTTTTATCGGTGCCAATAGAATATGGACTGATAGATCGGTGCACCTCTATATATAAGCATGTAATGCTTATTGTTGTGGCGTCTGCTTTTGTAGACAGTTTAAATTAATGTTTAAATCAACCTGTCTGAAATCAATCAATTCTCTTTAAACAAATCAAGCTGTTGAAATGTTTTCTGTGTAAGCAGAAGTTGGAGATTCTATATTTAGAGAAACCTTTTAGATGACTGAATAATATTATAAAAATGTTAGCATTAAAAATATTTTCTTCTGTTCCTTCCCAGTTATCAAAATGTTGTCAAATCCTTCTCTTTTCATGGGGGAATATGTATTCACTACAATTATTCCCCTTTGCTAATCCTAAAAATCCATTTGTTTTTCCCAAAAAAATGTGGTGAATACATATATATGTGAATTTGAAATACACAAGGCACTAGTGTTTGAGCAGGGTTATGCCGTGGTTTTTACAGAAGGGGGCAAAAACAAACACCACCATGCCTTGTTGAATGTTAAATATCGCTGCTGTAACCTCTTATGTCAGTCATTTAGCTAACAGAAGGTGACTGATCTAATTAGATGTGATCGGTCCTGGCAGCAGTGAACCAAGCCTGTAAATAGGAATAGGACTTAGGATGGCGCAAGCTTCACATTATTCCCTCCATTCATCACCCCCTTTTTAATAAGGTTTATATTTTTGTACGTTTCCCAACTCACAAACCGGGGAAAAGCCAGCTCTCTGCACAGAAAGAGGCAGAGCTGCGTAGAAACCCGTGGGAAGGACATCAGTGGGAATAAGGCAAAACTTCCCAAGGCCATTAGGACATGTAGGATCTCAGGGGCTTGCCACAGGACTATGGCTCCTCAATCAGGTCTGAAGATAGTCGCTCTCACCTGCAGATAGTGTGGATCCAGGATTTCCCAAAGCGGGGTGCCGGAGCAGCACACCACGCTGCAGGGGTGGCTGCAGTCCCTGCTCCTAGCCCCCTCTGCTGCACAGTGAGGGCAGACCAGGCTGTGGGTACCCCTGGGGAGATTTTAAAGGCTAAAAAGCAGGTGGAAATACCCCCTCCTTGCTCACACTCCCCTACCTTCAGTACAGCTGGGGGAGTGCCAGAGCCACCCAGGCTGGGGAAGGCACAGTGGCAACAGGGCACCTGGAAATTTCCTGGAGAGCTCCCCCAGCCTTCCAGGTCACTGTGGGAAAGCAGAGCCTCCGTCCACCCCTGCTGCACCATCCCATCCCCAGTCCAGGTCACTATGTGGGAAAGGGAAGCCTCCATCCATCCATGCCGCCCCATCCCCATCCCCCAGTGCAGGTCACTGTGTGGGGAAGTACAGCCTCTGCCCATCCCTGCCGCCCCTGTCCCCATCCTCATCCTCAGTGCAGGTCACTGTGTGGGGGAGCCTCCATCCATCCCTGCCACCCCTATCCCCAACCCCCAGTCCAGGTTACTGTGGGGAAGTGAAGCCTCAGTCTCCATCCTCGGTCCAGGTCACTGTGTGGGGGAGTCTCCATCCATCCCTGCCACCCCTGTCCCCATCCCCGGTCCAGGTCACTGTGTGGGGAAGGGGAGCCTCCATCCATGCATCCCTGCTGCCCCTGTCCCCATCCCCAGTCCCAGTGCGGGGAAGCAGAGCCTCCGCCCATCCCGCCGCCCCATCCCCATGCCGTGCGGGGGGCGCAGGCAGGAGCACCTCGGGCGCTCGCCTGCCCTCGGGCCAGCCGGGGAAGGCAGGCGGGGACGGGGCGGGAGGGAGGATTTTCACCTGCTCGGAGGACGGGACAGGCAGTGGCGCGGGCGGGGCGCGGGGCTCGGCTGGCGGCGGGGCATTGTGACGCGGGGCCGGGCC